ATCAACATAAGCATGATGAAGTGTAGGAAAAATCAAAGCAGTAGTGATCGATTATGTGGTACTTAATCTCGCTTAATAAGCATGATAATTAAAGCTGACTCTTGCTCCAACCAATAAATCTTTGAGTAAAGGAGCAAACAGTCGTTCATTGCTTATTAAAGCTTCCATATCAAGCATTCTTAGTCCTGGATTTTTTGATCCAGTATTTTGCTGGCAAATTATATAACTCTAATTTTGATTGAAGTTTTAAAGTCCAACACAAAACTAATTTTCGTATATTTTCCATGATCCCTCTTAAACTTTGTATACATACATATTTACATCATCCATCAAGATTAAATGATCTTCAAGTTCATATGAGGAAGCTGTATGAATCATTCCTGAAACAGTTTCTGCTTCATTGAATTAATGAAGGAGTTTTTATTAAGATTAACCTTCTCCTTCATCATCTTGCAATTCATAGAGAGAAATTTTCTTTCCATTCTAAATAAGGATATAAGTAGTAGGATCATCATTATTATTATCTCTATATTGAACTGATATTATATTTAGATTATTCTAAGGATTAGAAATAATCACATCATATGCAATGTTATCTCGAACCTATTTCAAGCAGATGTCTTAGTTTTCTTGTTTTATGACAACAAATAAATATCGAAATTCTTCAAGATCTTCAGTAACTCTCAAAACCTTTCCTTAAAGCCTTATTTTACATCTGTCAGAAGATATAACATCATTTTATTCACAGATATCTAGGATCTTCTGATGTATATCTCCATTTTTCAAAATGATCTAATAATCTGAATAGGTAGGTTCACTTGAATCTTCATCTTAATTCTCTTTCTCACTTATTGATGATTCATTTCTCTAATCATTAGTCTGATCTATCTCGATTATTTATAAGCTATTCTATTCCTCTTATTCCTCTACCTCACTATCGTTTTTTCCATCTAAATTTTTAGAAATTTCAAAAGAGTATAGGGCGAAAATCTCCTCTTCAAACTATAAATGATTTATCCACTACCATTAATCTATATCGAAAACAGAGAGAAATTTCCCATGAGATACCAGTAAGATTGCTTGGTCTTTATCATCTCGATATATTAAATTAATCCCTGAATATATTCTGGCTATATTTTGAACAATCCTTACATGGATTATTTCAAAATTGAGCATATCATTTGAGATTTCAATAGCTGAGCCAAAAGAGATATTTTAGTGGTTATTATGATCAATGTAAAGATAAAGTCCATCTTTCATTTTGAAGTAGATAGATGAAATAGTCATAGCAATGTCAGAAGCAAGTCCTAAATAATAATTATAAAGTATATATTTCATTACTGTCTTGGATTGATTCTTTCAAAATGAAATTCCAATAAAGATCTATTCCTCCAGAGGCTCTTTAAGCAACAGAGTAATTGTATCCATTAGAGAATATCATGCACATCTTGATGATTGGATCATTTGTAAATGTTCTTCTTGGAGTTATCTCACTTAATTATTCGAATGAATAGCTAAAGAGTGTGTCATCATCAGAGTCGAGATTTTTAAAGAAAATTTTATTGAAGTCTAGAATTGCATCATCTGTTTCAAAGCATATCAATGAGTAGTCTTTTCCAATTGTTGATTGATGCACAAGTAAAGCTTAGATTTTGATTTCAGTTTATATCATTCTTATTTTCTGTTTTGAAGCATCAATAATAGTGTAGGTATCATCAAATATTTCCTCATTCAAAGTAATTGCTTATAATAAATTATCACTAGCCTCTGTCAATATTCCATTGTCATAGCTTATATGTTCTATTAAGTAAGAAGTTAAGTTAATTTTCTATTAATTACTAGTTAACGACCTTGTGAAATTGTTAATCTTGACTGTATGATTTTCCTTTTCAAGATTTACAATACTTAATGTTCCTTTTCCGTGTGTTAATTCATCATCTTTAACTTGATAAATTAAATACTAATAGCAGATTGACCAGAAATCAACATAGTCTAAATCAATTATTCAATTAGATTATTACTGTTTAATGGAAGTTCAAATATTTTCTAACACTGTTTATCCCAAACTTATAGTAAGTACTTGCATCCGTTGAATGAATCTCTTACTTTTTAAGGCATTACCTCTAATATAACAGGGTAATATTTCATGTCGTCTTAGTAATAGCAAGTGCTTACAATCTTATACAGTTCTGAACAATTCAATTGGATTTTTTGTTACCTTGGAGATCAATCTGGTATGAAATCTCTTTAAAATATTCATCAGCTGTGCATTTCCCACTCAATGGGTTAAGACATGGATGCTAGAAATACTTATTTTCATTTGGAGTATCTAGTATTTGATCAAAGTCAAGGAATAGATTAATTTACTTAGATTTTCTGGAATCATCTTCTTAAAGTTGCTCATGGGTTAGGGGATAGTTATTACGTGTCAAACGTTTACTAAATAATATTATATATCTTATTTGAAAACTCATATTAACAAGAACATAAACTCATCCATTTAAGATATATTAAAACCCTGTAAATTTCTTAATTTTTCTAAACGGGGTTTTGGGGTTTTGGGGTTTTGGGGT